TCTGAACAATGTGCATCCTTTGAATTTTTCCTAAACAGCCCCTATAAGGACTTAAAGGGACGGCCCCTAAATATTTCAAGTCTACATATCTCGAAAAGGAAAAGAAACTTCTGAATAGTTGTTGAACAGAAAGTCTTCAAAATTACAAGACCTTTCATGTGGTATCAAGAAAAAGGGGCTGACCCCTCACATTAGGGGCTCAGAGGGGCCAAAAGTCTTTCATCTATATCTCCCACTGCATGAAAATTTGGCTTTACAAAACAAGTAAAGATAATGTAAATTTATTATTTACAATGCCTTTAATTGGCTTTTCTGAAAAAAGTCAAAGTTGGAAAAGGTAACCTTTACATTAACTTTACATGCACTTAAATATGATGTAATGTCCCACATTGTCTTGACTTTACAAAAAAGTAAAGTTAATATTTACAAACATTAAACACAGTATTTGGGGTACATTAAATCTGATAATTACAAATATTAAATTTAATTAAATAACATCTTTAATAGCCACAAAAATTAATTACTGTTTTCCATTCTTTTGAATAAAGCTTGTGCATATGATAAATAAGCTTTTCCTTCCAAATTGAAACTGCAAAAGAAGTCTGGACATCATACTTAATATACAAAGTAACAACAGATTGACTTAAACTTTGTTTATTACTATATTAAACATTTTTATACAAACATATAATCAACAACATCAAATTTCTTGACAGTATCTGTTGTACATAGTCTATCCTGCAAATCCCATACACATAGATAAGTATCCAGGACAGAGTACATTGCACTAAAATCCTTTTCAAACATGTCATTTTGATTTATAAAGAACCAATTGTTCATCCTTGAATTTAAAGATTTGAATTGACATGAAACTGTGCTCCACTTTTTTGTTACTTGACATGCGTTTCTGTGGAAATCAACAACTGTCCAAATATATATTTTGTCACATATTCCTTTTCAGAGTCCAAAACTTTTATTCTCATGCAGGCAGTCTTCTACTGTTTTCCTTAAAAGAAAAAAATATATATATATTTTCAGTGACATGAATATTTTCATAGGCATTTGTGTTATAAATTCAAATAAACTGTGATATCAGTATTCACAGTATCATGACTAATGAAAATTGAAACGAGATGCAACCATATTAATACATGTAGATAAAAATTTCATAGATGACCTTTAACCTCAAAAAGAAAATATTTTGAACCATTAATGTCAGCCTTTATTTTTACCAAAAAGACTATGTCAATCTTATTAAATAAGACAGATACAAACTGATGAACATATTGCTATTAACTTATTTTATGATATAAATGGACTGGGCCACTAGCCCTTATCTTACCCCAAAGATTAAAATTTAATAACTCTGTAATTTCTTTGTTTATCATTACCTAATTTTTCTTTTGAAAGGATTATTTACAAAATATACTAATGTAGGAGTAAAATAAGATTTCTCGTGACCTTCTGTAGATAAGATACTTTTGCAGAATTGAGAAAATGTTTGTCTTACTTGCAAGATAATTTGTGAAAAAGAACTGGCATCAGTATCTATGAATAATTACTGAACACATATAATTAACTCCATTTTCCTTCTTAGTCACCAGGTAACAAAAAGACCAATAGTTGCTGCTTATAGAGCTATAGTATGATATTCAAGTTATGGTTTAGGATATATGTACCTTTCTCCCAGTAGCATGTTGCTGCTCATGAATTATTTCCTGATCTTGGAATTGTAAAAAGTTGACAGGTCCCTCATTTTGAAGATAACATGCTAAAATGGAATTTATACTTTGATAAACATTTCATACATCTGGATAAATATAGCCAATGTTTTCACAAATACTTTTGAGTTTGAAGCATACCAAAGAATGATTTTAAAAATACACAATGCAATCACAGTTAATAGTTATGAATTGCCGAACACCCTTATGTTTGTTTTCTTCACAATTAAAGAATACTTTAGGTCTAAGCAACACTTGCCATCTATAAAATTAAACTCTTGAACTCTTCTCAAGTGTTTCTTCTTCATGAAAGATATGTCAATAAGGTGCTAACTCTCTCACAGTAAGCTGAGTAGCTGGAGCCTGGAAAAAGTAATAACACATTTTTTGAAAACAGAAATGTATAATTATACTGACTCCCGAAAAAGTCAAGCAATTGATAATTTAAATAATTGTTTAAGCAACATTTTTATGATATTATTTATTGATTTTTTTTAAAACTAATATGTACAAGTACCGTCAAAAAACATTGGGATCCCTTGGTCTGGTAAATCATACATTGTTGTCATCCACGACTTTCTTCAAGAACCTGCATAATTGATTTCACTGTACCTGTTTTTGAAAATGGACATGGTTTAGAATACAAAATAATATCTATAAAATATAACCTAACTTGTCCTCTGTTAAAAACATTGCCATACCCTGGCTTCTACATTTTTTTCCCTAGCACTAATGTAAGCAGCTAAACATCCTGAAATTGTGACCTAGAATTGTTTTCCTTGGTCTTGTTTAATCCATGATCATTTACAGAAAAAAATGGAACATTATCCCCAATTTATCAAGTTACTTATCTAAACACAGATATTTAGCTTAGTTTTTCCTGACTTTCATCAGTTTCAATGTTTCACAATGTATGCTGAAAACAGATGGAAAACGTAAACAAACCTGCAGTGCATGCCAGCCCGGGAGCTCGAACAGTTTTCCAAGCAATAACCTCCTTAAATCTTCTGGTAGATGAAAAGGTATCAATTCAACTGATCAATGGTTGCATATTTTCGTCGAAAATACCGATGAGACCCGCTCAACTTGATTTGAAATGATTGGCTATTCATTGGAATACAGTGCCATATTTGGGTTACTGTTAAAAGTAGATCGTTCGTTTTGTATTCGAGAAGACTTGGATGAAGAGGATTACACAATACTGAGGTGGAAAACATCCGTATATATGATAAAATATATTTCAGTATTTTAAAGTAAAGGTTGTCAAATGAACGGGACATATTACTGATATTACCTCTTATAAACAAAACTAATAAGCGTTGGACTTATTCAGGGCATTTGCAATGGATGGGAACCAGTCTACGAGGCAACAAAAATTCCGCCAAGAATAAACAAAGAGATTGCGAGATGTTGTTTACGTGTGTCACACGACACTGACTGCAAGGTAATGAAAATGTGCTTATTTTTTGTGTATAACTGTTTTCTGTCTTTCAAGATATTGAACAACAGTCGTTTAACATTTAGACGAAATTGCGAAACATCTAGGGGAGATCCGGAGAGAGGGAAGAAGAGGGGTCCCCTCTCAAGTTGTTGCATCTACTATATAGTGGTGGTATCAGTGTCAGGATATAATAAATTAAAATGGAAAAATCATAATAAAAATTTTGTTATAGATTTAGGAAAGCTAAATAAAGGGGCGACTATTTTTTGTTTGATGCGGGGGGGGGGGATTAAAATCTATACTTATAAATTAATAAATTTTGCAAATAAACTCCGAAACGGATGCACCAGAGTTTTTACTTACTCCTTTAAGAATACACTAGATACAATATGATGTCCGTAAACTATATTTAGATTTCACTCGCATTGTAAGTATCGTACATTAAATTAAAAGTCTACTTTTATTTTCTATAAAGAGCCATGAAATAGCAAAAACGTGAGTATGGTGGCGTTTCCGGTTGGCGGATCTAAGTTTCTGGCAATTTTCAATTAAACTGACAACAAGCAATCGTTTATTTATTTCATAAAACGTCATCACTGAATTATTCAATCAAAACTTGATTTAAAAGACATAAAAGAAATAAGTTGTGATAACCGATTAAAAAGGGAAATGTGCAAATTATTTTTGTCATTCACCGATCTTAATATTGACGGAAGCTTCTAGAACATCATATAGCATCGAGCCCGATGTTAAAAAGAAAAACGAGACGAACATAAAAAAAGCTTATGTGTGAATGGTCATTGAAATAATGGTAAATCGTTGATAACACTATAAGTTGTGAATATATTTATATATCGAAAGACTGTTACATATATGTAGTAGGTTTTCCTAATAAATTTATCGGTAAAATGCCTCACCGAGAGCTTCGTGGAGACGAACCCGAAGTACAATTTCTACTTCGTAATAAACTTGCTTACATGAAAAGAGAAAATTAATGAATAAGACATTGTTCAAATACAATTAAAGCTGTAAAATTTTGTGCTTTAATCAATACATTTCAGTTTTTTTTTTCTGAATACAGTCTTTTGTATCAAATACTCGGCCTATTCATAGGGCGTTAAAAGCTAATTTTTACACAGGTACCTGCGTCTTGGATTATATATATGTATGTACCTTATTGATATGTAAAAAGAAAAAAGTAAAGTTCATTTTTTACATATCAATAAGGCACATACATATACATAAACCAAGACCCAAGTACCTGTGAATTTTTAACCCCCCCCCCCCCCCCCAATCAGTTTATCAGTAAAATGTGAATATTCGCTGCTTTTATCCTTGACGGAAATGATATAAGAGCATCTGAAGTACAATATCCATAACATCATGAACATAGTATAACAGGTTTCACAATAAACATCAATTAATGAAATTGTTATTTTTTCAAGTTTTTACGAAAGGGGGGGGGGGGGCACATGCGGGATTTTGAACAAAGTATTTCTTCCTGCTATAACCCTGTAGGCTGTCAGTAGAAATTAACTACAATATATTTTCTGTCGGTAGTGGTATAAATTCAATTCCCCGCGCTTGCGCGGGATTTCATCTAGTATATTAACCTCAAAAATGTTTAAAAGATATAATCTCATCTCAACTGAAAAAAATTATTAATAATCTTTCCTTGTCTGATGCCATTATTCCCTTTACCTCACTGAAATAAGAGTTTCTTTTTCCTTTTTGTAGTGGCGATGGGGGGGGGGGGGGGGTCAAACTTTGTTCATATAAGATAAACATGAATAATCTGTCCCTCATTATTAAGGAAATCAAATATTCTGTTCATCACTGACTGGAAAATAATTAATCCGACTTAGCTGTCAAAAAATTACCTTTTCATAATTTATCTTTTGTAGAAACAAAGAGTGGAGAGCTAATGCATGGTGCTAAGTATGGAAAGGTCTCTTGTGGTTTGGTTGTGCCAGAGACAAATGTGCATTATTTCCATGTTGGGTAATGTCCTTAAGAATGGAATTTTTTTTCAAATACAAGGGACATGACTTTTTCATACACTATCGCTGTTCAGGGATCAAAATATTTTTAAACATTGTTAGATACTCACTACATTATTTCATCTTCAGAGAAGTATTTAAATTATTTTCTCACATTTCTTAAAGAGACCAGTGTGGTGAGGAGATTTTTTAAAATTTTAATCCTGAATTTTGATATTGTACAGGTCAGAAGTCTCGGTACACTTTAGGTGAGTGGCAGTTGGGAAGATGGATGACCTTCAGATAGTTTGAGATGAAGAAGTTCTTTTAAATGATTGAAAGTGATCATCATAGAATCAACTCCATTATGAAGATAAATTATGAGAGTCAGGTGAGGAATTGACTTCAATGTGTTATAACATTGTGTAAATGAATCTTCATTATTAATATCTTTTACATTTTATTTTTGAACTTGTTTTTCTATTATTCTAAACTTCCAAAAATAAAATTAAAGTAGTTAAAGCATGCTATAAACATTTAACGTATCTTGGCAAGTTTTCAAGGTTATTGCAGAAGTGCTTTAATTTCAAAAGATAACTAATTAATGCAAATTTGGAAAAGAAATGGATGTTATTCTCTATAATTTCAAAGATTATGTTTATTATTAGCACTCCTTTTGTCCAACACCTGAGAGATCTGAGTACCCAGCCTACTGTTGAATTAATTGGTGACCAAGAAAAGATGACAGAGAGGGGAATCAAATATGGATGCCATCATGATCAAGAATATATACATTGGCTAGAAAATATCTGAAAATATATAGATGAACATTCAAGCATTTATAATACTGAAAGTTATTCAGCAAGAGAGTTTTTGCACAAATTTAATTTTCAGTAAAATTGTGTATATTGTGCACTGAGGAACTTAGTAATAAGTATGTAACTCATTATCATTATCCATTTCTTTAGAGGATGTATTCGGAGTATATTTAAATAATCATTATCTTCTAGAAAAGAGCACACAAAACTTTTCTCTCCGTGCAAAGCATGACACATATGCATACACTCCAGCATTTACCACAACCACAGTTACACATTTTCCAGGGCGTTTGAAGTCGAGCACATACATGAAAATGTGTTAAGCTGGACACATGTGCAAACACACAAGCATCTACCACACCACCAGTTACATATTTTCCAAGGCGTGTGAAGTCGAGCACATACATGAAAATGTGTGAAGCTGGACACATATGCAAACACACAAGCATCTATCACAACCAATTACATATTTTCCAAGGCGTGTGAAGTCGAGCACATACATGAAAATGTGTGAAGCTGGACACATATGCAAACACACAAGCATCTACCACAACACCAGTTACATATTTTCCAAGGCGTATGAAGTCGAGCACATACATGAAAATGTGTGAAGCTGGACACATATGCAAACACACAAGCATCTACCACAACACCAGTTACATATTTTCCAAGGCGTGTGAAGTCGAGCACATACATGAAAATGAGTGAAGCTGGACACATATGCAAACATACAACATCTTCCACTACACCAGTTACATATTTTCCAAGGCGTGTGAAGTCGAGCACACACATGAAAATGTGTGAAGCTGGACACATATGCAAACACACAAGCATCTATCGCAACCAATTACATATTTTCCAAGGCGTGTGAAGTCGAGCACACACATGAAAATGTGTGAAGCTGGACACATATGCAAACACACAAGCATCTACCACAACACCAGTTACATATTTTCCAAGGCGTGTGAAGTCGAGCACATACATGAAAATGTGTGAAGCTGGACACATATGCAAACACACAAGCATCTACCACAACACCAGTTACATATTTTCCAAGGCGTGTGAAGTCGAGCACATACATGAAAATGTGTGAAGCTGGACACATATGCAAACACACAAGCATCTATCACAACCAATTACATATTTTCCAAGGCGTATGAAGTCGAGCACATACATGAAAATGTGTGAAGCTGGACACATATGCAAACACACAAGCATCTACCACAACACCAGTTACATATTTTCCAAGGCGTGTGAAGTCGAGCACATACATGAAAATGTGTGAAGCTGGACACATATGCAAACACACAAGCATCTATCACAACCAATTACATATTTTCCAAGGCGTATGAAGTCGAGCACATACATGAAAATGTGTGAAGCTGGACACATATGCAAACACACAAGCATCTACCACAACCAGTTACATATTTTTCAAGGCTTGTGAAGTCGAGCACATACATAATCTCCTACCACAGACGCAATACACGTAACATTTACTCCAAAGTATAAAGTCAAGCTCAAACAGGCTCACTGCTTGAAGCTGGACACATGCATTTACTTATGCATCTCGCAAAACTACATCTGAACCTATTTTCTAATAGGTGTTTAAGCAATTTTGTTTATTTTGTGAATATGTAAATTGCACCATTATGCTTACAAGATGTCAACATTATTAACCTGTACAGAAATACTCATTAGATAGCCTTTAATAGTTTAAGTTGGAAATACTAGTACTTTGCCTGATTTATGTTGTGTAGTTTCTCGTCAGTGATCTTGAGTAATAACTGAGTATGGCATTTTTAGTTCCATTTAAACTGCAAAGTTTTAACATGTACATGCACCATAAAGGATAAATAATATTGTATTGTATTTTAACTTTTTTAAATTTTATTCTTTGTCATTTTATTGCCTGTTCAAGTAAAAGATGTAATCTTGTAATGTTTGTAACTGTTTTTGGTAGATATTTATGAAGCAGAAATTATAACAGAAAAGGTTTCAATACATCTACACAAAAAGCAAATAAAAAAGAGTTCTCCATCTATCAGATATCACCAAATCAGATGAGTTAAAGGTTAAGTCATAGGGAATTTTAAAGTTTATTATACCTATATTCTGATATCTGATACCATTTTTACATTTTTGATTGTCCATCTACAGTATACAAAAATAGTATAAATTTTTATATTTTGTAGATGACAATCTCTAATACTAAATACAACTGGAAATTGATATAACGCTTGAAAATTTGTGTATTTTTAGTAAGATCGAGTTTAACAAAAACGAGGTGGGGGTAACACAAAAGACACATCAGATACCTATTTATTTTAAAAGTCAAAAACCATTTGTTGAAATCTAAGTACGAGTATATTAAACAAAGGCCAGTATTTAAACAAGGATTTAAAAAAGTTTCATATATATATATATATATATATATATATATATATATATATATATATATATATATATATATATCAACTTTAATGCAGCATTAAAGGTGAAAGGTTAAATTTAATTACCTTTTCTTTTGAGTAAAGGTTACCTTTTCACCTTTACTTTTTGTAAAGTTAATACAAAGATGACTTTGCTTTTTGGAGCACCTTTAATGAGATTTACTTTGCAAGTAAAGTTTTGTAAAGCTATTTTTTCAAGCAGTGTCCTTAACGTTAAATATTTTGATATTAATTATTGAGGCAAAAATGTTTATCTTCACAATCTGCAACTATATATCTTAAAATTCTCTTCAAATATTACGTAATGAGGGGCCATAAGGGGCCAGAATGCTTAATCTTTGAAGCTCAGAGGGGCCAAAAGTCTTTCATCTATAACTCCTTAACATTAAATATTTTGATATTAATTATTGAAGCAAAAATGTTCATCTTCCCAATCTGCATCTATATCTCTTAAAATTTTATAATAAATTTCGTAGTTAGGGGCCATAAGGGGCCAGAATGCTAAATCTTTGACGCAAGCTTGTCTAGTAATTATTAATTTCTTTAACCTTTCTGAGCAGAAATCTCTTGAAATGCCTCTGTTTATTGGATCTTTCCACCTATCTGTATGACCTTGACCTTTGACCTTGAACTTTGATCTTGATATAGGACCTTGACATTAAGGTCAGAATGTTTACTGAGGAAGTGGAGAGTTGATTACAACTCCCAGTGTGTAACAGGCTAAGGATTATTATATAAACCCCCCCCCCCCTTTTTTTTCTTGGAAAAAAATGACAGCAGTTGCAACATGCAATATTTCTCTAGAATTGAATTCACACATCGGATCGACACGAAACTTTAGAGAACTGTAGCTGAGACTCCAAAGTAACTCCCTGTAGAGTTTTATGGTCTTTCTCTGAAAAATGTAGAAATTACATTTTTTTCCGGAAAAACTTCAAAGAAAAAAATCATCCCGAGAGCAATGTGAAATCTTTCTCTTAGTTTCAAATCACACTTCAGATAGATATAAGATTTCAGGGAGTTGTAGCTAAGAACCTACTGGAACTTTCTTAAGTTTTATTGTCCTTCTCTCCCTCTCTCCAAAAAAAAAAAAAAGAATAATGAAAATTATCGGCAAACATAACTTTGGGTTAAATTTGAAACTAAGGACATGCATCCAGCTACAGTAGCAGGTTAAAACATAGAACGTAAAGATTTTTTTTTTAAATGACCTTGACCCAAAGGTCACAATCAAGCTTAAAGATGTGGAAGTAGTTACAATTGTTAGTTAAAAAGAAACATAAAAAAAATAACTCACCCCCCCCCCCCCCTTTCTTAAAAAAAAAAATCACATCAACAACAACGTAGAATATTTCTGTAAAATTCAAACCAGACCTCGGATCGACACCAAATTTGGTACAAATGTAGTATAGACCTCAGAGAAACTTTCTGGAAAGTTTTACGGTGAGTCTTATAAGTATATAGAAGTCATGAAGTTTCACGGCAAAAACTACAAGTTCTGTTGTGTTTGAAATTAAAGTGCAGGTGAACGAAGAAATGAACTTAACCTTTTATTGGCTATTTCTTCAGATGTCGTTAATAGCATTCGATTCTCCTGATATGATATGACATTTTAATAACGAGCATTCTCTCTTTCTTTTACATGTGGAATTTATTTGATTTTTATATGGAATTAATCAGTTTCCAGACATAGCGATTTTCGATATATTAAAAACAATTCTCGCTTTCATTGTCGTGTTTCCCTTCTAAAAATGCATGTTGGGAGTTTAATTTGTGCTACATATATTTAATATAACCCAAAGAAATGCTTATTTAAATGTTTCATATTTATTTCAGGATATTCAGTCAGAAATGCTAAAATCCGAACCCGATCTTTAAAGCTTTCAACAAAGCTACATGTATTTACAAAAAAATCAGCATGCTCACAATATCGATGAATTGGGCCACAGTCCACTAATACATTTTCATTAGGGAACAGTGTAAACGTTTTCTCACGCAGCCCGTCCCTTCTTATTTTATATACTGCTTGCAAGTTCAGGAACTATTTGCCTTTACGGAACTTCTTTCTTCCCCTACCGATTCTAAAAATACGCTTGCATCTATTCTATAGTCCTAAACATTTTAACTTACTACTGTTGTCGGAATGCATGGCCTAATGGTTAGCGCACCTGCCTTTCAACCCAAGGGTTTTGAGTTCGATCCCTGCTTGAAGAGCAATTTTTTTTTTAAATAGACTTTTACGGAAACATCCAAAAATGTTTAACGACTAGTAATTTGTCTAGGAGAAATGATGTCTCTTATGTTTTATTAAGGTCTTTCGTCTTCAGCGGAAGACCCTTCTATTATTCTTCGGTTTCTTTTTTACCTTTATTATTAGGGTCTTCCGTCTTCAGCGGAAGACCCTTCTATTATTCTTAGGTTTCTTTTTTACCTTTATTATTATTAGGGTCTTCCGTCTTCAGCGGAAGACCCTTCTATTATTCTTCGGTTTCTTTTTTACCTTTATTATTATTT